CCAGGGGACCTGCTGAACACATCACAGAGCTGGTGTGAGGTGGAGGAGCACACGTAATACTAAACGCTCATCCAGGGGACCTGCTGAACACATCATGGAGCTGATGTGTAGTGGAGGAGCACACGTAATACTAAAAAGATTAAAACAGACACACTCATCTCCAACATAGAGTCCTAATTGGAAAAAGCCAAGCATTCATGAAGCAATGGAAGAAATTTTTCTTATTTTAATTCTAAATATATAAAATTAGAGAGAGAAAATAATGAACCCTCATGTACCCAGACCCAGATTTAACAATTAGTAGCTTATGGGCAATTTTCTTTTTGTAAATCCTCTCCACCCAATTATTTTGAAGAAAATCCCATACCCAATACATATTATATAAGCATATAATATATATTAGTATTACGTATATTAATATTTTATAAAAGTATACATCTCTAAAAGATAAAAACTCTAATACCATTATCGCAAAATTTGGGTAAATTTTTAAATTTATTATAAATCTGATTAATATGGTTAAAATGTTTTCTGGAAGGAAATATTAAAACAAAAACAATAAGTAGCCATTGTTGAGCAAAGGAGCTAGAATAAGGGGCAAGGATGGCTTAATTGTTTTCCTATCTCTTAGCTCAGTTAAAATTGGACTTCAATGAACCCCTTGTGCCAGGAAGAGCAGCAGAAAGGCTGCGATGACCCAAGGGAGGAGGGAGCCTCGGTGGACGGCACTGGTGTAGCCGGGCTGGAAGACACTCCAGGAATCGCTTATGTAGACTGGAACACTAGCAGGTGACAATGTCCATCAGCTATGGGACATGAATTCTCTAATGGGCAAAAAGTAATAGAGAGCTGTGAACTCAGTGACATCACTAAACATAATTATGGTTCCAATGTTGTGCAGGGCCAGACATTTCTGAGATGAAATGGACTCATTTCAACCTCCCTACTGCCACATCCAGCGGCACCGTGCGATGACATCTATCACTTAAAGCACTGGGATTTTAAAGGGCACTTCAAAAACACTTCTGTTTTTTTTTTCCTTTCAAACAAGTTAATGTTGTAACTCCTCCTTTTTGCCTTATCTTTCCTCCGTGTAATTTATCTGCCCTATACGTTGGAAAAATGTTATTTCCTTCCCTGGTGGCTCTATCTATTCTATTTGCTGAGTCGCTATCATATTAACATAGCCCTGGGACCCACTGGGTAGTTGCTGGCCTCCTTTGTAGAGACAAGCCTTTGTGAGGGTTTGTTTACAATGAATTCAGATAGGACAGAGCTCGCCACATCTTTCCATCTTATGAGTACAAAAAAAAAAAAAAAAAAAAATTAAGATTAAAAACAAGTGACTTTTAGGACCCTGTTCACTTGTCACATTTTTAAAACCTCTGACAAATCCAAAGAGGTTATAAATATAAACAAAAGTACAGAAAGACTGATGTCAATTATACTAGTTAAAAATCCTAAACTTCTGGTGGCAGCTGTAGCTCAAGTGGCTAAGGTGCCAGCCACATACACCAGAGCTGGTAGCTTCGAATCCAACCTGGGCCTGCCAAACAATGATAACTACAACCAAAAAATGGCCGGGCATCGTGGCAGGTGCCTGTAGTCCCAGCTACTCAGGAGACTGAGGCAAGAGAATTGCTTAGGCCCAGGAGTTGGAAGTTGCTGTGAGCTGTGACGCCATAGCACTCTACCCAGGGCCATAGCTTGAGGCTCTGTCTCAAAAAAAAAAAAAAAAAAAAATCCTAAACTTCTAAATATATTTCACAAGAAATACCATTTTTTCACTTTCGAATATTACTTGAACAAAGCTAATAAAATATTCCCCAGTAAAGGTCAAAAGAAAAATGCCTTTTGTGAACAGACAACTAATATTTTAAACTTTTAATTATACATGAGCTTGAGCATAAATAAATTCTTCTGAGGACTTTAAAATAGTTGGTTCTCCTAATTGGATTATTAATATATCCTGCCCCAAGAAACTATTTCTTTTATTATTTTGCTTAACAAAACTCAATCTTCCTAGACTGCATATAGGAATAGTTTGCCCAAGTACTGGAAATATAATTTCTACATAGATAATGTTTTACCGTACATAGCACCAAGGACCCATTTATTTTCAAAAATGCTTATCAGAACAACTTGTGAATAATCCAAAATGAAATTAACTTAAAATGTGACTGAAGAATGTAACAATATTTTCCAGACGAATGGCCTAATTTTACCCCAAGGAGCATGTACTCCTTTATGCATGTAAACAGACATATCTGGACAGTCTAGACTAGACATTCACTCCATTGGTAGTTGAAAACACCAAAAGAAAGTGCCCGCGGAGCCACCCTTCCCGGGTACCTGTTTCGTCCGGGGAGCTGGGGGAGGCACTGTCTTGGGACAGCGTCGTCCAGCTGGACTCCTCATCGCTGGGCGCCAAGTTCTGGATCCGATGTAGTGCACAGTCGGTTTTGGCCCCTGTTTTAGGATGATCCTTCTTGGTCTCTGGGCTGGAAGACACAGTGGCTACCTGACCGTCCTCGGGGCTGGACTGGGGTTTGTTTGATTTCTGCAGCAGCAAATCGCCATTGCCCATAATGGTGGGGGCCTGGCTATGGCCTGGCTGTGACTTCTCCTCTGCAACTCCATGGCAGCCACCTACGCTCTGCTCCAGTTCTCTGGCTGAAGTCTCCAGGTCTGCATAGTAATTTAGGAAGCTCTTAGTTCTCCGGGGCTGGGAGGGTAAAATCTCACAGCCCGAGGAATCCTGCGGATGGGGCTCTTTACCCTCTAACTTCTCAGAAGTTATGTTGATGACTGCGGTGGGGCTCACGTTTTTGTTGGGGTCCTGCTGCCCTTGTTCCGCAGCCTTCCGGAGCTGGTTCTCCCCATTTTTCACCAGCTTGATGTTGGCAGAGCCATTTCCCAGCAGGGGCTGTGCAGCTGGATCCGAGAGGCCCATTGCCGCCTGGATGTTAGTTAGTGCATATTTTTTCCTGCATTTGGGAGGTGTGCTGTTCTTGCTTTCTGTGTGTTTTATTTCAGCATTCAACAGTTCATTGTGTGAGGAACGGAGATTAAGGGTGTTCGGTGGGGTGGCTGGGCTGTTCCGATTTGCAACGTCTGTGGTTCCGCTGCTGGCCATAAACACTGCCAAGGTGTCAGCACCCGAATCAGCTGGAAAAAAAGAAAACTCATCATTAGATGCCATGATTAAACTGTTCAGCACCAGAACCAGTAAACATTCTGATACAGAAAACTAAAAGAATAAATGCTTCCATTGAATGATATATTCTTGTAGGACTGACCCATTTTGTTCTTTATTTCAAATATCTGTTTATATATCAAATAGGAGACAATGAAGGGCTTAATGCAGATTAACCTAGAAGCCAATTCATAGAAAAGCTAAGAATTCTGAGGGCCTGAATATTACACAGAATAAAAACGCATCTCTCTTTTGAATTCATATAAAAGCATTTTCTTCTCGTGGCTGGTCTTCATTTTTCACAACCTTGAAAAATCATCCCCTTTCCACATTATTCTACCATGTTTTTATTCTGTAGTTCCTTCAGGCAACGCACACACACACACACAAAAAAAAAAACAGCTCAAAATTGCTCCAGGGTTTCAGTTTTCTTAATTATTCTGAAAGGTCGCTGCTCCATGATGCACCCTACCCCCAAGGGAATTTTCCTCAAGGTGTTTAGAAACTGTGTTCTGAGTGCCTAGAAAACCAAATCTCCTTTATAGGTTGCTGATGGCTTTGTGAACATTTTTGACCTGGGTTTAGCATTTGCACTAACAGAAACAAGGAAGAAATGGCTTAATGTCTCCAGAATACAAACACACATATACACATGAGACTATTACTAATCATGCAGCCCTTGGCTCCAGACAGTGTGTTGGAACTCCTCGAGAAGTCAGAATATATTCCGCTGAATTAAAATACTGACTCAGCTGCGTACAGTCACTGTGTCCTTGCAGAACTCCTAGGAAAGTGACAGTTCCATTCATGTCAGATACTGTTCGCACCGTTTGTGATTTATTCCATATGTCTCTTTTAGGAAGAAAAGAAAGGTTCCTCAGCCTAGAAGGTTATAAAATTCATCAGCAAGAATTCCTAAGGTTTCAGATGTCTTGGTCTATGAGGAATGACTTCTTTCTTATCTGATCCTTTATCCTCCACAGACTTCAGCGATCTCTCCATCAGCAGTAGGTGAACCCAAGCACAGTTCCCAACATTCCTGAAATTGTATTCTGACAACTCCTTCTTCCTCCTTCAGGCAAAACAGAGATCTTTAAGGCAGAAGAGGACAAGAATTTCCCAGTTTAGAAGCTTAGCGGTATCTCTCCATCACCAAATAGTAGGGGCAATGTTAGAGAAGAGCCACTCGTTCAGTTCATTCTAGAGGCCTTGTGCTCCCAGGACGCCAGGGGACATCCATCTGCCCCAGGCAATATCCGCATTCGTAAAGGAATGACCTCGTGGTCCATAAAGTAGTTAAGGGCTGTAACCTAACTGGTTAGACCTTGAGCCCTGTTTTTTTCTGTGTTTACACAGCACCGCACCTCAACTCTTGGGCCTCTTTTTATAGGAACAGAGAATCCAGGGTGTTTCTTTCTTTTAAACAATACTCTCACAATTGAATCTAAAAATTTCTGTATTACTGTTAGGCTACCATTTTATGGAAAACAACATGTTTCAATTTATAATCCAACCTCACCCAAGAGCAGCAGTTACTATGAGAAGCCCATACCTTGAACCCACGTGAAGTTTTTCTGATGCACACATCCACAGCAGAGACACAAAGAAGAAAGTTATTTTTAGACTCTTGGGTATTTTGGGTGGCATTATGAGAAAGTGCAAATCTGCTGGCTTCCTGAAAGTCATGGCCAAAAATTTCTATGAGTCCGTTTTATGACCATATTCTACTGACCGTATTCTAGCAATGTTATTAGGGAGGAACTTTTATTACTTTATGTCCATAAACATTTTCAGAAAGAATACTACCAAGATTTCTGGGTAATCTGAATATTTCAATAGCTTTTATATCCTAAATGTGACAGACAAAACCTCTTAGCCACAGTCTTAGACGTCTGGATCTCATCACCCTCTCAAGGGCCTTGTGTCTCTTCTTTTTGCTGGAAATCACGGAGGGCAGGCAAGGAAAAGAGAATGAATCAGAACAGGACCATGCAAAATACAAATGGGACGTATGAATACAGTTCTGCACATGCTGCTTTAATATATCAAAGCCTGAACACAGTCTGAGTAACGCCCCGTATCTTAAATGATGGTGCTATGTGGAGGCAGAAGAAAAGGTTCAGTCCCAGAACCAAGGCAGCTAGAAAGTCCTTGAGCTCAAAAGGGCCATGAAGCAGCTAGAGGTTAGCAAAATCCTAGAAAGATCAAGGCCACAGAAAAGCAGCCCTGAATGTGATGGGCAATGTCATAAGGGTTATGGGCACAGACCTCACATCAGAGAGTCAAAGGCTCAAGGCCTGCCTGAGAGACTTACAAGCGTAGTGCGGGTACATCACCTTCAGTTTTGTTGGCTGAAAAATGGGAACAATAGCAGCACCTGGTTGACGTGAAGAATCAAAGGAGAAATGCCTGCAGGGTTGAGCATGGTATAGAACAACAAATGTGAGTTCCCGGTCCACTCTGCACATAAGTGACGGAGCACAGGGCTCCGGTCCACTCTGCACACAAGTGACGGAGCACAGGGCTCCGGTCCACTCTGCACACAAGTGACGGAGCACAGGGCTCCTGCCGAGGGCCTCAGATTGGTCCACTCTGCACACAAGTGACGGAGCACAGGGCTCCTTCCGAGGGCCTCAGATCGGTCCACTCTGCACACAAGTGACAGAGCACAGGGCTCCT